TTAGGCTATTTTCAAAATATTTCTCAACGCTTCTCGCTTGCCATGCCCCAGTGTTCAGTTTTTTGCATTGCTTTTCAAACGAAGGTCCATTTTTGTGGTCACATTGTTCGTGTCGTAACTGGTGCTGCGCATAAAGAGCAAACTACGCTGCAGCAGCTCACCCATTATCTTTGCATCATGGCTGGTCTACATTGAGTGACTTGTACGGAGTTTTAAATCTACTTTAATGGTAGTTAATGAGTGTTTACTCTTGGATGCGCAGGGGGTGTCCTTACGGAAGTTGCCCGGAGCGGAACGGCGACGGTGGCGCCGCGAGGCGGCCGCTTCCAGTGCCACCACTGCAGCTAGCCACACGATCTTAACTGGTTGGGTCGGCAGCCAGCGAGTGAACACGGGCGAGAGCCTATAAATGTTCAATTTTGCGCGAATAGCTCTACGCAGCCGGGCAACTACACAGCAGCATGCGAATACACCGGGGAGAAGCCGTTGTGTGTTCAGAGTGTTGGCGTGTTGTTCACTTAAGAAAGTTGATGTTGAAGAGGCATATACTTGATATCATATCATAAAATATTAAACAATCATCAAATTTATTGAACTTGTAAATCCGTTCACCATAATATTTATCTTCTTTACGTCATTTGTAAGTGCTGTCGTTCCTGTTGGTGTTAATAAATGATTATTGTCAACACCGAATTTCCGAAAGGATGACGTCCTCCTCGGATCAGTCTGAATGATTTTCGGACCATAAGTGTTTTGTACTCGAATGCCTGAACAGGGAGAATTAATACAATTATAGGATGTCTCACCGATTGTTTATGTTTGAATTTAATTCTGCTGGATTTTGGAAGATAGGTGTTCTGCACATTTTAGTTTTGAATGGGTAGACTTTGTCAGAAATGTGCCAAAAAATAAAAAAAGAAGTCAGGTTTGTAAGAATGAATTCATAAACTGCTCTTGAATGCATTTTGAACACTTTTATAAATTTTCAAGATAATTTTAGTTACAATCGATTACATAATTCTGTGGTCACTGATCATTGGGATTACAATGTTACGGTAGTTTAGATCTAAATGTTCCCAAAGGGTGTGAAGTGAAAAATGAGTACAAACCTGAAAAGGCAGAATTTCGTAATTCCAGGTTTAGAAATGTGAATTAAAGTTACCTATATAACTGCATTAATTACTTACAGTAATGGCATTGTTCTACCATTGTAATAACTAAAGTGTCAAATTTTTAAAAAACCTTCAATGTGTGTGAAATGTGTGTGGTGCGATGGAGTAATTTTTTATCACATTCTTCAGTCAGGTCACAAGTTATCATTATCTCAATTTGAAACTTAAGGTGGCAATAGTAATAGACAAAATTCCATTTTATATGCAAAATTAATATAACCAAGAAGATCTGTCCGATACTTGCAGATCCTGGAATCTTTTAGATGTTTAAATTGAGGGTGGCCTGTTGCAGGCTATTTGGTAGCATGGTTAAAGTGAGATATCTTTTTAATTGATTTCGGCTCTTACTGTTAAGAAAACCAGATGTGAAAACCAACGTGATTGCATATATGAATTTACCCACAAAAATTAGGTGTAGACAAATTAGTTTTCATATTTTCTGAAACAAATACACATTTTTGATAATAGTTAATAAATTTAGTGTGCCGCAAGATGTTTTTGACAATTCTCATGTAAAGAAAGTTGAATACATATTTTGCAAATTACTTTGTTATTTCAGAAGAAAAATCAATTACTTGAAAATAAATGGATTGAAAATTCGATTAAATGTTTGTCTGCTTGCAGTCCCCACGCCATACATCAGCAAGATTGCTTTAAAAAGCGGTCAACGCGGGAAGGGTCAAAATGATATTATAATATATGTACAAATATTAAATTAAAATTATTATAAATATATCAAATTACAATTATATTTTACTTTGCTGCCGTGTGTAATTATTTTTGACTGCATAGCTTTGTACAATTCTTTGTGTTTTAAGTTAGAGAATAATTATTTAATTTCAGTACAACGTCGGGAAATGTAAAAATTATATATAAATGCGAGTCAGTGGATAAATATTCTGTAAATACTTTTATATACTGTTATTACATGTCATGTGAAACACTTGAGTTAGATCACGGTGTAAGATATATTTCAATGGCATGGCATGTCAATAAAGGTACTTGAGGGGTAGCTTGATGGAAATAACAGCTTCACTAGATCTTGATAGTTGCTTGGATTGGAATGGATATGATTTACAAATTTGTGCTGAAACTCCAGAATTAGTTGCTTAAGGATAGTTTTTGGTATATCAGGGTTTGTAAATTTAGTTGCTTTCGTATTGATTGACAGGGTGAAATGATCCCAAGAGGGTTGAGTTTCAAATTCCATCTTTGTCTCTTTCTAACATATGAAAAGAAAGGCAAAACACGACCCTCCTCTCTTTATTCTCTTAGACTACATCCTTAGATTACGTACTATTTCATCATAAAGCTTAAAAAAATAATTACAAAAATTCCACCATTTTGATAAAAAAAATAGGGAACATAATGTGAAAATGGCGGACTATTCGCTCAAATAGTGGACACCTGTCAACCCTAATGTTGGGGGACAAGCCATAGGTGTGTTCTCAGTTTGGGATTCGCTTTATGTACTGCTCAGGCGTAAAGAAACACAATCTCGATTGCCATAGTGAAGTTTGTAGTTCGTAAATGATAGACGTATAATTTGAGCAATTATTTGATAACAGGGCTTGTAATGTAGAAGACATACGATAGCAATACCAGTTATGGAATTTCCGGCACGTCTCAAATTAATACGGGGGATCTAAAAATTATGTTATTTGTCTGCCGACTGGTAGCTTGGTTATCTTAGCCTCGAACATGCCAAAATACGAATATACTTTTCTAATATACTTTATCTGAAATTTTGTATGCATATTGGATAAATGCAAAATAATATCTTTTGGCCTCCTGTTAAGAGGTAATTGCAACTCTGTCTGTGGCAAACCAATTGCAAATGAAATATTATATAATGGTTGGAAATTGGTAAGTTTGTATGTATGTATGTATATACATATATACACGCGCGCGCACACCGCCCCGCTCGCCTCGCTGTCAAGCGTTCTAAGAGGTGATCTCTGCCTCTGGCCCGTGGCGGCGCGGTGAGGAAGAGAGGCGTGAGATGTGGGAGGAGAGGCCGCTGGCGGCCGAGTTACCAGCTCTTCTTGCCGTGGGGAGACCCAGGGCGATACAACACGGCGCATATCAACCCCTGGCGGTGCTGGCACAACTGTCTCGTTTCCGAGACAGTAGCGGCAAATTCAAATATCTTTATTTTAAGTACCGCGCATGAAATTCAAAATCTTAACCCATAATTAATTGATAATATGGATCGCCAACTAGGCGCGAAATTAATAGTTCCAGAGTTGGCGCCGGAAGAAATGTGTTAACATTTATTCCAGTCGTTCTCAAATTTGTGCGCGAGAGCTGCACCTTCTGGGAACTGTGTTTAGTCACCCTTGACCAGGAACACAGGTGGATGAGCTTACTCTGGCCTACAAAATCTTGATTTCTTCAAGCCATGGCATCAGACTTGCAGAGGAAACCCTGTAGGACAGTCCTTGCACTACGCAGAAATACCCATATCTGAATAATCATATTAACAAGCTACTAACTCTACACAGGCCAAATACAATTGAAAATAGTATGCAGGCAGTAGCCTTAGATACAATTTGTGGAATTTTTTTTCATATTTCAGATTTTTAATTGTAAACAGAAAAGAAAAGAAAAAAAAACATTTATACTGAATGAGTAGCAACGGCGATCTAAATGGAGATTCAATGAGTGATTACAATAAAAAAAGACTTTGATGTGCGTACTTACCAGTAGGCAGGCCTAAAATACAAGACCTCGATTAAAGTTTTTTTGTTAAGAATATGATTAGTAGAATTCCGACGTAAACTTAATGTGAGAATTTCGTGCTTGTGAACTCCCTAAGTTAACGGATTTACGTCGACAGTTAAGTCAAGTCTCGCTTGATAACTTATTTCTAGGGTTTGCGTTTACGTTATGTTTAGGTTGAAGTTTGCATTGTGAATGAAGCGTTAGGCAAGTTAGCTATGTTATTTTTACCTGAAAGAAAAAACATGGTGGATTTAAGATTGTGTTCGGGTAGTTTGTGGTTATGTCATTTCATTACTGTTATTTACTGAACTAGTTCGCGAACGAGTAGTGAATTCAAAGTAAGAATTTGGGTCATTTTTCTTATGACATTAACTTGATGTGGCGAATAAAATACTTATTTTCAACCAAAGAGCTACAATATACTAATATTATAGTACATTCTAGCTCGTATTGTTCAACGAATTACTCGTGAATTTATTACAAGAGAATTCTTGTTTATAAAATATAGGAAATGCAAGCACTAATACAAATACAACAGCTACTCGCATTTATATATTAAGACAAATCGATAGGAAAATCGAAGAAAAAGCTAGAAGCCATGGTGGAAAAACCTTTCCACCATGCTAGAAATGCATCGACAATCGATCAGTCTTCAATACCTTGAAATCTAATTGGGCAGGCGAATGCTTGTTTTTACGTGTAAATTTGAATGGAAAGTTGATGGTATTACGTTACGTTTAAGTTTCCATTGTTAATGAGACCTAAAGGGGGGGAGTAGGTGCGCATTATAGCACCACAGGTTTCTTTTACGGTAAATAAGTTTTTTTCTTTCTTGATTTAATAGTAGATACTGAAATTGTTACTTTTTTATTGCATTATATTTTCATCCTAGATTAATTCCATGTCAGAATATCCGAGATTTCCTACAGAATTGTAAAATAAGCTGTAAATGAACCAAAAGAACGGTACATTCAAAAATGCTGCACAGCTTATTGAACGAACATAATTGGTTGAGATACATCTTACGTCATACACCTCTTTACAGCAGAGCCTAGAATAGTATTATTGCCACCCTTTTGAGGGCAGCACTGAGGCTGAACAACCTCAAGTTTATACTGGCGCGATTATAATCGTAGTTGCGTAGTTTGCGGTAGTTGGCCAACCTGCTGGTTGCACGCTGGTACAGTTCAAGATGAAAAGTTACAAAATTTTCAAAAATCAAATATTTGTGCGGTGTTGAATAACTGTTTGTTCATAAGAGACGAACTTAGTAAACAATATATCTTATATTTTCAGATTTGTAGTAAAAGTCCTCATTTGTGTTTCTCCGATCAACCGTCTTATGATCTGCTCATTTAGTAATTTATTACATCGCTTCATTTGAAAGTTACCATTGGTATTTTTCTTTTTTCAATTCCTTATTTTTGATGCAAAATTTTCCAGGTTTGAATATTTTTCAATATTCAAATTTAATGGCACCTGTTTTTTAATAGTTAGTGCTTGGTGATGACAATGGTTTTTATTTTTCAGGTTGAAAATGGCACCTCAGCAACTGGTTTTAAGTTGGAAGGATCACAATGGTGCATTGGTGTCAGTTTTTGAGAATCTTTTGAAAAGGAATACTTTAGTAGATTGTACTCTGGCTGCCGATGGTCGATATTTAAAGGCCCATAAAGTGGTGCTTTCTGCTTGCAGTTCTTATTTTGAGGTGAAATTTAATGGAATTTGTTGCAAATTTGAGATGCTTTCACTTGTTAACTATGTAGCTGATAAATATGAAACTTGTTAGCATTCATTTCCGTTTTTAATGTATTTTGAAGCATGTATGTAACTTGCCTTTCATTGTTTGTCACTCCTGGCAAAGGGTGACTTGCATTGATTTAGTTGACTGAAACTTTTAGTAGCTCTTCACTGACCTTGGTAATGATTAAATTGTTGAATGAAGTAGCTGCTTTTGAGAATTAATGTTGCACATGTACTTTTGTGGTCTTATCAGAAGGGCAATGAGCTCGTGCGAGTTCTGAAAAGCATTGTTTGCTGCAGTCAAGGAATGTTGTCTAAGAACTTTGTCTGATTATTTTAATTATTGCAATAAGAAGGATAGAGTAAACAGATCTTTAAGATTTAATAGAAAAAACATTTTAAGTCTCAGTTTTCCTGTTTAGTACTAGATGTTCAATAATCATCCCTGTAGAATAATTAAGTAACTTGTGTCTGTTTATGCATCTGTCCATCAGTCACAGTTAGACCCCTTCTGATCCACCAATCAAGACAAATGATGTAATGATTTGTCTGTCTTGTGATTAATTTGATTATTAATTAAAGTGATTACATTTTTGCTTGTCCATACAGAAGGTTTTAAGAAATGTCTATAAAAACATGTTATTTGTTTTTAAGCATTTAAAACGGGTTTGGACGTCTTATGCATCACAGATATCAATATCATATTCGATTACCTTCAGCAAGATAAATCTATTGTCACAATTCTTAATTGGTTTCCTTCATTTCTTAGCCTGTTCCGTCTAGGATATTCTGATAGAATTCTAGAAAAACATTTTGGTTTTGATTGTGCCAATTCATCTGTGACAACATTGGTAAAACATTGCTATTGCTACTTTCTTCCCGGCACTTACTCAAATCATTACAACTTGGTTCATCATATCAATGATAAATCTAATTTTACAATGAAACAAAAATTTAAACACTTATTTTAATTGATACTTTATCATGGAACTTACTATTACTGAAAATGGTTGGGCTAGGCAACTATGATAATTCAAAATTTATTTTTGTTAGTAACATGCAAAGCCCAATTATAACTTTTTATCATAAAAAAACCCACTGAGTTGCCCACTGGTTATATATGCTGGTTATGTTTGCTCAGAATTGCAGTTTTTTCATCTTTAAATAGAACAGCTATTGATGTAGATTCAACATTTTAGAAATGTATTGTAGTAAGTGTTGAATATTTTGAAAATATTTGAAGTATTGTCAGGTTAATAAAAAAGATATTTTGAAAAAAAAAATCTATTTCAATGCCTATACAATTTTAGAATTTATCTTTAAAAAAATGCATCATGACATATCAATTTGTTGGTGAGTAATGAAACAATTTAACTATCTGTTTCTGACACTTCATAACATGGCAGATAGATAAAAAAGATACAAGGACAATTTCTAGAACATTCATAGTAAAATATTGACATATACATTACCCTGTGTAAGTATAACAGCTTTGAAGGAAAGGAACAATGATAATCTTAAAATGAGTATTGAATCTATGAAGCTGATTAGAAACAATGCTGGAATGAAGAATAATTTCAAAATTAAAAAGTGAATGGCAGTGAAATGCCCCAAAACATTTTAACAATGCTATATTAGCAAAAAACGTAACAAAAAATGTGTATAAAGTCGGTCTTGCTTTTATGAATGTTTCACATGTACGAGCATGTACTAAGAGTCGTTTTCAAGACACACATGTCAAGTTTCCCACAATGTAAAATTTCCCAGCTAATAACAATGAGTGCTCTGTCTCAAATTTTTCAGAGAACCTTGTAATTTGATCAGAACCTGTGTACTATTTTTGTGCACTGGAGTTCCAAGACGAGTAAGAATTATTATTAAATGGGGCAAGCACTTTTATTTCTTGTAGCTTCTCTGAAGAAGAGCCTGTCCATTTCCAATGAGCAAATGTAGTTAATACTTAATGTTTCAAACTTAGCTCTTGACAATCTTTATGGAAGGTGGAAGTTGTTTATATCACTTTTGAAGACTGCTTCAAAAATAATTTAACTTGCAGTTGTACTGCCAACTTGACTTCACAAACACACACACATATTCTTGTTCTGTGGGTGGATCATCGATGTTAATGATGCACTTTTTGTAAGTGGCATGACAGTGGCACGATTTTTGACGCTAGCTATATAGCTAAATCAAGTTAAGTGACCGTGGAAGAGAATTGAAGTAGCCTGCTGCTGTGATTGATAGTTTTCCAAAATCTATGGAAGTTCGTATTGCAATGCTCTGTAGTTCTCCCTTCCTTTTCTTTATCCATAGATCAACTTTAACTTGTTCTTTCTAATTTTTGCTAATAACTTATCTGCCTTTAATTGATGGGTCATCTACATTTTTGACTAGCTCAGTTATAATTTTGAAATCATATTCTATATCTGAGGTTTTATTCTTTCTGTGTGGACTTGAAATTTCACCACTGTACAAGGTCTCAGCTCGTAACTTTTACATTGGGAAATTTCTTTAGAACCCTGTAATTTTTACTAAAATGAAAACGATGTTCGAAATTTCTAATGTACAACAATAAATTCAGTTACACTGTTAATTTTTAAACATCTGCTTCGGATGCTGTAGAACAAACTGCAAACAGTAAACATGAAATAAAGCAATAACAAATATTCTAATTACAAATAAAACATTCACACTAATTAACAATACAGTCATCTCAATTCATCATATGCACAGAGCTGTGCGTTTATTAACTGACTGGAATCAAATGGCCATTATTGATTGTATTACTTTTGTATTCCAAAATTAAGCAAATCTTGGACCCTGTACACTTTTATTCTGTCATCCTTGCTTAATTCTTGATTGACAAATAAGTCATTTTCCAATAGAATTTATTAATTATTTATTTAATGCCAAGAACAGTTAAAAATGTGTGATGTACTATGGGGAGGAGTGTAACCTGTGCATGTTTTATTAAATTTTGGGATCACTTACCTGATCCATATACATGTTTAATTATGAATACACATGGAAATGATTGGCAAAAATTTATCTTAAAATATTAGTTCTCATGAAATAAAAACTACTTGTAAAGGAAAAAAGCTACAGATTTTGGCTATTATCGCTCATTATGATCTTTGTGAAGAATTCGATTTACTGCTGCAAAAACGTGGTAATTTAAATAACTATATTCCTCACCGAACTCCACAGGAAGTGAACATACCTATGCACCTTCCATGCACAGGAAGTGAATTTACCTATGTACAGGTAGTGAAGTATTACGTCTAGAAGCAAAATAGGAAGTCATCTCAGCATTTGCCCATATAAGGGAAACTGGCTGAAAAACCTGATTAAGATGTGCGTCATTGACCCAGAAGCTGAAGTACAAAATTTGTTCGGAACTACATTAGTTAGTCAGAATATCTTGTTGAATGAACTGTCAATAAATAACTAAAAACGTGATATTTGATGGCTTCCAGGGAAATCAATTTCGACTTAGAAATTAAATAAACTCGCAACCACTTTTGGGATGTATTGTAAATATTGGTTAGACTTCATTCCTTTTTTTGTGTGAGAAGTTTGTCTTGAATTATTCTCTTCAAAATTAATATCGAATATTTACGTGTTTTTTGTATTTCTTAAGGTTGTTCAGAATGGATGGATTAGAGGTACAGTAATGGCCTGAGTATTGTTGTTCCATTTTCATTTTATAATGTTTTCTTGTTTTTCTTTCTAGTTATTATTTAGTCAGGAGAGTGAGAAGAATCCAATAGTCATTCTCAAAGATGTGAAATTCCAAGAACTGGAAGCTGCTGTTAATTTTATGTACCGAGGAGAAGTGGAAGTTTGTGAAGATAGATTAGCAGCTTTTTTGGAAGTCGCAGATTCTTTACGAATAAAAGGGTTAGGCAGCGGTGAAAAATCTCAAGTAAGGACATTCTCATTATACACTAATTTTTAGGGTGGTAATTTTAAACTGGAATATTATATGAGAATCCTTACTAGCCAAAAGTATTATACTGAATCATGTTTATGGGGCTTGGTCACTAGGAGTAAAAACATTTTAACACCTGGTTGTTTGTGGACTTCTTTTTTTTTTTCCCATCAGGGCTTGCAACCACCAGTAGAGGTTATTCTACCATTAGTACTATATGCGCATGTTTTCTTGATCCTCCAGCTTGCTCACTCAGCATGACCTGGTAAAAAATATGAATTTCACTCGGAACATCAAGGCTTGGTTTGCTGTGATACTCACCCTTTTTCTTTACAATGTGGACTTCTTATTTTTTGCCTTCTCTTTCGATTGATCTGTGCGTATCAAGTTCCTTCTTGTTACTCAATTATTTCTATAACTATTAATTATTTCTTAAGAATTTTTTTAAAAAATCACTGCTTCTTATTGCTATCAAGTCCAAGACCTTCTGTTACGCTGATTTGTCTGTCAACACACACTGGAGCATAAAGAAAAGGTGTGGGTATAGTAGTCATGGTGTGTGGTGAATGTATACACACGTTCCTCACATCCCTTGAGGGTTTTTTTTTGTTCCTACCAATCTTTGTAAACCTCTCAGTAGAATCTTGAAATTAATAAATGCAAACTATTTGAATTATTAAATTGTAAGGTGTACAAAAATATATTATGTTCAATTTTGTTGAAATACTCTAGTTTAGAAGTTAACCTGCTTATTATTTTATCCAAATTTAATTAAAATTTCCTGTTATTTGGTAGTCGTTTTCTCCTTAAAAACTTTTCAAAACATCTTGTGGCAGTGTTGATATTATTCATCAAGACATAAGAACTCATATGTGTAGGGAAGAAGTAAATAAATAAATAAATAAATATATTTGAGATTTTTCAATAAATACAAGTTGAGTCAAAAAGGACTATGCAACTTTCAAGGCATGTAAATGTTTATTGAGATGACTTATAGAATTGGTACAGGTGTTATTTTGTGGTGAAAGGCCTCAAGATTTGCATCGAAGTATCGCTTTCATGTTTTCTCCATGAAGAAGAAAGGGCTGTACACTTTCTTAGGGTACAAAATACATTCACTTTTGGGCTGTCATGAATGCATTTAAGGGTTTCATGTGGTTTTTCAGTGCCCTATATTCCACAGTTGTGGGTGTTCACCTTCCCATTAAGATGAAACGTGGACTCATCACCGAAGATTATTTTGTTCAGGATTTCTCCTCCTTCACCCTATTCAACATTTCCACACAGAATTCTTCATGTGCAACTTTACCTAAATCAGTAATTTTTTGTACTATTGTTAGCTTGTATCGTTTTTAAAATGTAAACGTTTACGTAACACTCTAAGTCTTTTGTGGAATTCCAGTCTCGTGAGACTCACGTCACATTGATTACTATGGACAGCCAGCAAAGACATCCCTCATCTGTTCGACAGCATCAGCAACATACAGGCGACTTGGTGATATATCTTATCTAAGAGAACAACCTGTTTCTGCAAACCACTTGTGCCTACAGTAAATTGTAGGCATGCTTCAGAGTTCTTTAGCGTATTTAGTATGAAATTTACACAGCTAGCTTGCTCCACACCACTGAAATTAGACATTTTAATAATTAACTATATTGGTGCTCCCGGTGACTAAATATAGTTCTGTGGTACTATGCGAGTAAAACTCGAGGCCTCTGGCCACAAAATGACACCTGTAACAATTCTGTAAGTGATCTCAATATACATTTATATGCCTAGAAAGTTGTAAAGTCCTTTTTTGACTCATCCTGTATCCTGTATATTATCAGATAAAAACTGATTAATCAGTTTACTATTAATTAGTAAAGTAGTGTAACAAGGGGAGCATCAACAGACCCTACATAGTTTTTTCCCCCCTATCTTTGTTTAGGTCAGGAGTTAGTGTCATTGTTTAGAACTTTTCTATTTGTAGAACCCTTCTGAATCCCTAGTGATAGTTTCATCTTTCAATGCTTATCGTTTGTTTACAAAAATACTCAAAACCAGTGCTCTTTATATTAGGTTCTTGGAAACTGAACCATTTTTTTGGCCTGCCCTTAAACATGTTTCAATCTAATTTTTACTGCCTTGTTGATAGTTGATTGGTTGATATAGGGAACAGTTGTGCAAACAGCTCAACATTCTGAGTGTTGAACTAGTTCATAAAAAATAAGGGGGGGGTAACAAAGAAGATATTAAATATATATCCTTTAGTTATGTTGCCTTATTTATATTCTGGGGTCCTCTTTTTGTACCCACCTGTGATCTCCCTGTGTTTTTCTGTGAGCTCTGGAATGGTATTGGTAGGTGAGTGTCAACTATTTAATGACCTGCAATTAACAGATTCCCAGTTAACCAAAGCTTAGGATTATCAGAGAAAAGACAAAATAATACATTGGCAAATGAAAGACGTATTCACAGAAGTAAATATCTTTGTTGCGGCAGTAGTATTATGGTAGGTGATGCTGCTCAGATTCTAGACATATTTTCAAGATTTAATGGCATCAGATTCAAGAAATTAAAGAAAAAATTTAATTCATGTAATTTCATTGGGGTGATCATGGAACTATAATCAAGTATTTCCTAATCAAGTCAATCCTAAACAAGTGAATCAGTAAATATTAATAAAGTAAATAAAAGTAATAAAAAGTGAAAAAAAATTCCTGTTGCCCCCTATTTAATCCAGATTTGACTACATCTGAAATTTTGAATTTTAGTAAATGTATTTTATGTAATTTCAGGATGCCAGAGGAAAGTCTCCAACACCAAAGAGCTCGAAGGCTGCAGTTCCTCCGAAAGCACATTCCAGCAGAAAGGAAGTCACCCTCACGGAAAGTGAGAATACTGTGGAGAGTTGCATCACCCTTGGCAGCGATAAGAATAGCAACGGAAGTTCTTCTCACCATCATCTACCGCACAGAGAAACATCAGGATCTTCCCCCATTCCATCCTCACTTGCTATTGCGTCCTCCTTCAGCATACCATCAGCTTCTACCTCATGCCCAGTTAGAGTAGAAACTGACCGTGATAGAGACAAACTGGAGAAGAATCAGTGCTCGTCCCCTTCTGTGTCTACCTTCCCTTCAGGAGATACTGTGCCATCAGATGTGAACACTGTAATTAAAACTGAACCTGTGACCGATACTTATTTGGATGAAAAGTCGGATGAGACGGAGAGAGACTTTGATGATGTGACGATGATGGAAGATCAGGAAGACTGGGATGATCCTAACATAGAATCTATGGGTGATGAAAATTCCTCAAATCAACATGACCCTGGTAAGTGCTTTTAGTTAACTCGGAGGGAAGGGGCAGAATAGAATATTATGAAACAATGATGTAATGAAAGGTATTAATACACTTGTGTGAAGTATAATACCCATGACATCGAATTTTATACAGTATTTTTTCTAAGACTTATGGTAACGTTTATGACTTAAACCTAGTGGACACCTCCCTAGCCCTACCCTATGTCTAATATAATGACTAATAAAAAAGAAACTAACAAGCTTAATATAATAATAAATGCAACTTTCATGTACACAATTGAATGAAACATTTACTAGATAAATTCTCAACGATTAACTAAGTGTTAATTCTTGGTTTTGTAACTTCTCTGTATTGGTCAAGAACCTATATGCTAATGAGTATACATCGTTTTGCAATTGGTTGCAGCATCCAATTAGCAGAATTATACAATGGGAGTAGAAAAAAAGCCATTGATGATAGTGTGGAACTGGAGGCATTACTATTCAAGGAAAGGGAAATTTGCTCTTCTAGTTAGGGTGTAATAGTTAAGAGTGAGTGACCTCTAACATTCTAATCCAGTGTTTTATTAGAAGCAACTTTCCTTTATGATTGCGAATAAGTAGCAAATCAGCTGTACAAGAAGGTAAGTTTCAAGTTTGTATTATCTTTTGTGATGGTTTTTGGAATGAGATGGCTATTTTTTGGTCCATGTTTTGCTACTGATTTTTATGCCTCAATTTGCTTGGAAGCCTATACCAAATGCAGGGCTTGAGGATCTTTCTTGTTGGTGTCCCTCATTTATAGGGGTCAGATTTTGAAAATTTCTAAAATATTGCCAAAAATGATCAATAAAATGCCCCTAAAATGTTTTTAAAATGCCCTAAAAGCAAAGAAAAATTATGTAAAAATCTTTTCAAAACCAATTTCAATGAACAACTGAAGCTGTTGGATATTACTGATGTAATGGAGGCTGCTTCTATCTGTTCAAGTGAATGCAGCTTGCAAACTTACTGACAACGCCCGACAGTACAACAAAAACGACAGTACAAAGAAACTGAATAGGCTACTCTGGAATTCTGTGGAGAACATTTGTGGCATCTCATAAATATTATTTGAAGCAAGTACTATTCAAATAATATTAAAATTGATGAAATCAGTGAAAAATGCTTTAAAATGACAGGAAAAGGTAAAAATAGACTATATTTGAAATTTTAAAAAAAATTAAAAAAAAAGTCATATTAAAATGGGTCATTTCTTTTTGTCATAACATTAAATTATTGTATTTACAAACAGGCATTGCTCTGAAGTGGGGAAAGAAAAGAAGATAAGGAAAAGACCTCAGCCCGCTCATTACTTTCATTAGTCTCTTGTAGTCCCTGGGTATGTCCCACTCTATCTTTGCCAGGCATTGGTCTCGCATTGTCTCTCATTGGTCTTGAATGTCTGAACTATATGGGCGAGAAGAACCCATAACATCCTTATTGGATTAGGGTTTAAGACCTACCAGGTCTCTTTGACAGGCCACAAGTGTGATGTATAGAGCCCGGAAGTTCAGACTTTTATTACATCTAAAATAGGCAGGCAAAAATTATTTTAAAAAAACAAACTAAAATGCAGGAAATTAACATGGGAAATAATATTTTCTTTGTAGTCTTTATTCCACACGTTTTGGAATGATGACTAGGAATTTGTTTTACTCCCAACAGTGTCTTTTTGAAATTATATTTTGGTCTCCCTTTGTATCTTGAAATGGCATCAGTAAAAATGGAATTATGTTTTTTGTTCATTGCACTTACATAATTGCCAGTGCTGAGAAGAGTATGCCATACACTGCTCTGTCCGCTGTCCTTGAAATGGATCGGAGGCCATACTCAAAAGTAGACGGGGTTCCTAATGAGTAAACAAAGCCGGTTGGCATCAAAGAAAAATCTTGTTTGGTATTTCTTCCTTTTTCATTTAGTTTTTTAACACATCCTTTGCTTCCAGAGAAAGATGAAACACAACCGTGTCTTTGTGTTGTCCTGGCTTGCAGGCATATATCCAGCTTGATCGAGATTGTTTAAGAGGGAAAAAGCAAAATAATAACATAGAAGGTAGAAAATCACAAAAAAATGAGACAAATGGCAAAAATAGGCATCAGAAGCTAGGCAAAAAAAAAGGCAAAATGAAAATCTACTAAAACATTTTCAGAAGTACAATTAAATGATTCCTGTTAAGTCATAAAATAGTATTAGTAATAGTAACAACAACAATAATAATAATAATAATAATAATAATAATAATAATAATAATAATAATAACAAAAAGACATTTTGCCAAACTTTTGGGCTTTAGTTATGACACACACGATTTTATTGTGCTCCCAGCCATGATTGTATCTTGAACTTGGGTTTAAGAAGTATGCTAAGCCAGAGTGGCGTGCAAACCTCCAAGCTACTAGGGACAGCAAAAAAATACTATTAGTTACATAAAACGCAAAGATATTTAATGCGGATATAGGACTGGCACAAAAGCATTTTTACTTTCTCATCATTACTTCGTAAGAATAGGAAGATTATAATTGAGCTGGAAATGGCGAACTTTCTACATAGAAACTTTTATTGCCAGATCCTAATGAAAAATTGGATAAATCTTTTTCCTATGATATGTAGAAAATTACTTCCGCTAATTGTAATCAAAATTTGTTTCTGGATCTTTGATACCGAAAAATCGATTGATGGCAAAAGGTCTATGCGACTGTTCTATACAGTGTGTACTATTTTGGTATGTACATCTGTCTCGTGATGTACAGCGTGTTTAACTTAACTTGCAACCATGTCTGGAAACACCACCACGTGTTTAGGCAATTTGGCAACCCATGAAATACCTTTGACATCTCTTTCACTTTTAGCGATCCATGGCAGCATGCCCTCAGATTTCGAATTTTTTTGTCATTTTAAGAAAATTATATTTTGTTATATTTTATTAATTATTTTCAATAATTATTAATTTACTACTGATTTATATTTTATTGGTATTTGAATAATTTTATTAAGGCTTTCTTATTTATCTAATAATCATATTCTATAATAATAATAATATGATGATAATAATAATAATAATAATAATAATAATAATAATAATAATAATAATAATAATAATAATAATAATAATAATACATTGTTATAAATAATGAAGAGCTTGATGGTAATGCTTCACAAGATATCTTTCTGATTTCTCTCTGAGTCGACTTTCATTAAATAATAATTATTATTACGTCAGTGTTAATAAATTGATGAATAGTCATAACGTCCCTCCACATCTTCAGAATTAGTTTTGTTTCTTAAGCATACTGGACAGAATCACCTAAAGCAACGTTTTGTATCTTGCTATTGTCTCTGCTCTCCCCTCGCCACCGCATCCACTCTGTGCAGTGCGAAATTTTTCCGGCCTGTGAGCCGCATATACCTGCCATATACTTGTTCGCCTAAGCTCTTAAATGGGAAAACACAGTAACAGGAAAGTTGCTGCAGCTTATGACCTGATGGTCGCCTCCTCTGCTGTCTCGACGTGCGAGGCACGGCTGTCTTGAAAGGTAACAAAAACACGCGGTTGCCCAATGCCAAAACACGAAAAGTGCAACCCAGTCAACGGTTGCGAGTTCAGGTGGTCAGAGCGAGATAAGTGTTACGTTTAACATGCCTTTTTTATTGTGTTGATCGAGAGATGGGAGGTTCTTCTCTGTGCTGTTATAGTTTGAATCGAATTTACCGTCTAGTTTCGCGTAAGGAGACTGTAAAGTTTGCTGTTTTAACATGGGCTCTGATAGTGACCTGACATAGACCTGAAATTTTAAATTTGTGAGAAAATTAACTGTTAAACATGTTTTTAAAAACTCTTCTTTTGGTAGCTAGCATCTTGAAGAAGATTTTCATTCAATCGCATTAACTATTATATCCATCAAATTCCAGTTTTTCTGAATATCTGGTTACATCAAAACGCAATGTTCTCCAGGAGTGAAGGTTTTTTAATTGCTCCCAGAAGATCTAGAGGAATGTACGAAATGTCTACTCGATTCGAATGAAACGCGTGCGCGCGCGCGGTGTTTGCCGAGATTGCGTCACAGTCCCGACCCTCAAGAAACCGCGCGAACGTCTCCCTTGGACTATTTAGCTATATAATTTGCAAAATTCTCCTAATTTAAACGTGATTATTCTTAAATTTGCGCTATTGATTCT